AATGGCAGACATCATATAAAATCAGGGAGAGCTAGTAGTTCCCTTTTGATGTTCCTGAACAGGCCCTTGTTTTGGTGCTACAAAATATTTGCATTAAAAAAGGAAAAGTCAGGAGAGGATGGAATAGAAACTATGTAGCTCAGAGAAATAACATTCTGGGCTGTTTCCTCTGCATTTCTCTGTTTATGCTTTTGAAAATGTCTTTATATTGCACTAAACATATAATTCTTGAGGTCTTAGGAACTGTAAACCACAGTGGGCTGGGTGATGACAACTCTGATGCCCAAGGTCAGCAGCAGCTTATTCATGACAACAAATTCTGCACTATCTTCTGGGACGTGCCTTTGCCATGTATACATCAAAGGGCCCCAGCAGGTTTCATCATTAGTTTGACAGCCTGAGTTTATGGGGGTGCCTAGATATTGTGTTTCATTAAAGACTGTATTTCCATGCAATGACTTCTGCCAATACAACTAAAATTGCAAGAGATGACCACTAATTAATTCCCTTCCCACTTCTCTAATGGCAAGTCAGGTTTATATGGTTTAAAATTGTGTGCAAAATGTGATACAGCTATTAATGAAAGGATGGTTGTGCTTTTCCAAAAACCACTGAGAATTTACCCATCAAGCTAAACCCTGAATTTACAGGACATTTTTCTTTAGGAAGTGGTGAACGTTAAAAGTCAATGTTAGAGTTGTATAGATCAAATCTGCAGCTATTCTGGTTATCATGTCATGGTCTTCCTGAATTAAATAAGATTAAAGACAATATATAAAGGGACTGAAGGCAAACAGGGAGAAAAAAAGTAGAAAGTAAGATATTCATAGTATACTTTTTGATACAAGCAATAATAGTGAGAATCTTGGGAAGAAGGAAAGAGGATGAGATAGAGATGGAGAGAATGAATGAGACAGGGAAACAGAAGCAGATAATATCAGGGATAGAAAAGAAAACAACAAATCTCAAGCTAGTTAAAGTCTATAGGAAACTGACAATTTATAATTTAATTGAGGCTGATCACATATTTGATATACAAGTTTTAATTCATATTAAATTATAGAAGAATATAGCATAGTACCTAGAGGTACAGGTCAAAACAGAATAAATAGTAAATAAAATCATTAGGATTTTAATTCCTTGAAAACCCAAATAATTAATTCTGCCTATTCAGCCATTGGGAGTATTGAATACTTTTTTTTCCCAAAAAATATTCTATATTTAATGTGAGATGCTTTCTGAGTGTTTCTATTTGAGTTTCCATTTAATTTGTGGCTTGTCTTATTGTTTCCAGATCATTCCTTTATAATTAATATTCACAATTAGTCAATCCACAAGAATTTGTTGAGAGCCTTCTATATTTTAGGCACTATGCCAGGCACTGAAGTAACAAAGATAAAAGGAAAATAGTCCCTACCCTCGAAGATCATTCATTTGAGTGGAGCAGACATCATAAACATCTACAGATACACAGAAAATCTCAATAAAGTAAATTTGGTCAGGGAAGCATAACTTTGTGTAGGGGAAGGGGAACAGGAAATTTTTCACATGCAATTTAGTGTTTGATCTGAGTCTTAAAAAAGCAAAAACAAAAAACAAGGATTCCAATACTTGGAGGTGAGGAGAGAGGAGATTCCAGGTATAGGAGACAGACAATGAAGAGATCTGGAGATAGAAGATGGGAAATCAGGTATGAGGAACAGCCAGATCAGTAAGAAAAAATTGTGTTGTAGTCATCATTGAATAGTTTCAGTCATATCCAACTGTTCATGACTCCATTTGAGGTTTTCTTGAGAAAGATGCTGGAGTACTTTGTCATTTTGTTCTCTAGCTCATTTTACAAATGAGGAAACTGAGACAAACAAGGTTAAATGACTTGCCCAGTTTCACACAGATAGTAAGTGTCTGAGTCTGAATTTGAAATCAGGTCTTCTTTACTCCAGTCCTGGCATTTTATTTACTGAGCTACCTAGCTGAAAAAATTGTTTAGGGTAATGTGTATGAAGACAGGAAAGATAGAAACAGCCAGGATTAGAGAGCTTTATTAAAAAAAAAAGAGCTTTAAGTGTCAATCATAAGAGTTTACACTTGATACCAGAAGTGGTAGGAACCACTGGTGTTTATTATGCAGAAGGCTGACATGGTCAAAACTGAGGTTCAGGAAAATCTACGTGGAAGTTGTATGGAGGATGGATTAGAGAGGGAGAAAGCTTGTGGGAAGGAGAGGCAATTGGGAGATTTTAGCTATAGCTGAAGAAAGAGATGATGAAAGCCTAAACTCAGTTTTTCCCAACTCTGTGGAAAGAAAGGAATATGATATGGTAAGTGGTTTAATATGTGGGGTGAATGAGAGTTTGGAATTGAGTGAATACAATGGAAATGGGAATGATGTCATGATGCAGTGAAATGAGGAGAAAGGAAGAAGAGGGACCTCATGTCAAATGAAATCAATTTTCTTAGTAAAATATTAAGATCCTCAGCTGAGAGGTTGAAGGTGGAAGGAGAGAAATTCAGTGCAGAATAGCCACTGTTGTTAGTGGGATCAAGAATCATGTAGGGAAGATTAAAGGGATAGTTCAGTCATGTGTGCCTTTGTGACCTTATTTATGGTTTTCTTGGCAAAGACATGAGAGTGGTTTGTCATTTTTTTCTCCAGCTCGTTTTACAGATGGGGAAACTGAGACAAACTCAGTTAAATGACTTTCCCAGGGGCCATATGGGTAGTAAATGTTTGAAGCAGGATTTGAACTCAAGATCAGTCTTCTTGACTCCAGGCACAGAATTCTATCCATTGTGCTATATAGCTGGCCCGTAAACTTACTACCAAGTCACTTAATCACTTCCTGCCTCAGTTTTCTCAACTGGAAAATGGTGATAATAACACATTCCACCCAGGGTTGGGGTGAGGATCAAAAGACATCAGGTCTATAGGGTGTTCAGCACAGTGCCTGGGACATAGGAGGTACTATATAAATTATACTTTTTCATTTTCTCCATCTCTGACTCAGTTCCTATGCTTGTCCTAGAGGATTTCAATAAACATGTTAATATCCTCTCAAACAGCCCAACAATAATAATAACTCATTTATATAGCCTCCCAATTCTTCAATTTGTTTAACTCCCATGACCTATGTCTTCCAAAAACTTCAGCTACATAAAATGATGATGCGTTTCAACTTAATATGACTCAAAGGTGTCCCGTTTCCTTGATCCAGAGCTGAAATCCTTTTATCTGGTCAGAACTTTCCATTATTCCATCTCTCCCTTTATCTAAGTCTTCCTAAATCTATTTTCCTAAATCATACCCCAATCTCTATTCCCTCCATTCTTCAGGACATCACTCCTGCTCTGATTTCTTTTTTTCTCAAAAAAATGTGACAGCCATACCCCATTTGCCCCCTTAGCCTCTCTCCAGTCAGTTCTTGTGACTTCAAAACTGGGGAGGAACTCATGGTATATAAGCATATAAGAAACATTTATGTTACTTTTTTTATCCTACAGAATTGTCTGGTTCACTGAGAAATTAAGTGATGGTGTGGATAGTATATATGAGTGACAAAACTTGAACCCAGGTTCTCCTGAATCCTAGACCAAATCTTTATTGGCTATACTATGCTGTGTCTTACAGTCAGTCAGTGATCATTTATTAAGCAACTACTATGTGCCAGGCACTGTACTAATTCTTAGGATTCCAAAGAAATGTTCTGAAGGAGTTGTCCTATTTGATCTGCAATATAACATTAGACAAAACATCACAGGCAGGCGTTAGATTCTCAAGGAAATTATTAGAAGTGGAAACATGTGAATAAGCCGTGGATGAGCAAATGATGATGAATCCCACCATAAGACATAGCTAAAAGGAATAAGAACGGAGGAAACAGAGCCAGTCTACTAGGTGTGGGTTGGGCAGCTTGAAGAATGTGTGATAAATAGGAAAGATGGATCCTGGCAAAGTGTTGAGTCTAACTTTGAAGACAAGTACAGCTAAGTCCATTAAAGACAATTTAGGGATGAGATCAGGAAAATCCTAGCAGATTAGCAGACATATAAAGGTTGGGTTTTATGAAGCGTATGAGGGTAATAATCTAAGGATGACATTAAAAGATGATGTTGATGTGGACAATCTCTATACTTATTTCTATGTCTGATTTCATGAGGAGGGTTCATGGATTACCATTTTATCCTCTTTGATGACTCAAGCTCATGCAAATGAACATCAATGATCTCTCCATGGTGTAATATGAAAATGTCCAGTAGGATACATTGAAGTGCATTAGTCTATTTTTCCATCTCCAAAGATATTAGCTGCCACGACAAAAACATGGTATCTGTTTCCAGGAGTGGGCTTCCTAAACCTTGACTACCCTTTTGCCACAACCTGGGCTATCAGGCAACTAAACTTTTTAGAAATGTATCAAAAATAAGGATATTGATGTAAATAAATAAGGAAAAAATTCTAGGCCAAAAATAGAATTATACACACATGTCTCTTTTTAAGAGAAATTCTCGACACTGACTTTCAATTAATAAAAGAAATGAAGTAGATGAATAATTTGCGTATCTGTTTTCATTTGTACAGTGCCCAAGGCTTTTATCTTATGGAATTCAGTAGCACCTTCTGACAGATCTATGCTGTAGCCTAGATCAGAAACTCTTATGTATGTTCCTCAGCTGATTTGCTGTTTTCCTTGGCTTCTTTCAAGTGGCCTTGAGGTTTTCTTAATGTTGGTGATTATATCTTAGTTTATTTGAATATGTCTTTTATCCACCTAAGGATATCTTTGAGGATATATGACTGATTGGGTTTCCTGATTATTCACTTTATAGTAATTTAAAATTGTGATAATATTCTGTTTTGCTCATTTCTGTTTGTTTTTGCTGATTTTGCTTTTTTAGTTATATTACTATCTTTGGTGTTCTATTTAGTGTTGTTTTCTGTTGTTTGTTTAAAAAAAATCAAAACTTAACTCTTTTCTATCTTTTCACTATTTTCATTCCAGTGTCTTGTATTAGTTCCCAAGACCAGAAATGGATATTCAATTTTGAAAGGAGAATCAAGTAAAAAGGAATCAGAAGAGCTGCAAATTCACTATAGATGTTGAAAACCCTACAAAAGAAAAGTGACTACAAGAGACATCACAATGTATTAGATAGAATACTGGGATTAAAGACAAAAAAAAATGTTGAAACAAATCTTGACTTTCGTATTTTTTGACTATGTGACCATGGGCAAGGCACTCAAACTTTCTCAATCTGAGTTTACTAATCTATACAATGAGATTAATCCTAAATGTCATAAAATTCCCCTCTAGGGTGGTTCTAAATGATATATGCAAGTAAAACAAGTAAAAATTATTGCTGCTAGTATTATTGTCATTGTCATTACTACTGCAACTACTACTATCCCAGGCAGTAATAGACAACATAGCTGGCAAATTAAGATACCCAGTCATAAAACAGGTGATCATTTTAACCTATTCCTCACAAAAAATATGGGACTTGCAGATTTTTAAAGCTGTAATGAAGTTACAGGTTAACTCGTTTATTTCAATATCTTGAGGGGTTTTTTGAGTTGGAATGTAACACCAGTAGCAATAAAGAATTCATTTTTTAATAAATATTTACTTTATAGTTGAATTTTCTGGTTTATGAAGTTACTCAAATATATTAACTGTTCTCATTTTTTTTCCCTTAGGTCTTCTGTCTTCTGGGTGCTAGAGGGAAGGGGAAAGGAATAAGCATTTATTAAGAACTTATTATGTGTCAAATACTGGGCTGAGTGCTTTCTAAATATCTCAGTTTCATTCTTACCATAACCCTTCAAAGGTAGGTGTTATTATTATCCCCGTTTTTCAGTGGAGACACTGATCCTGGTATAGGTTAAGTAACTTGTCCAGGATCACACAAAGTAATTGTGTGGGCTCTGATTTGCATCTGGGTCTTCCTGACTCCAGACCCAGGACCCTAGGCTAATGAAATGTGCCTACATTTCTCTGCTCCCTTCCACCCCGTGACTCCTCCCCACAAAAGTGTTCTCTACATGCTTTAGTTTCTAATAACATTTTATTCAGATTTTTAGACTTGTTTTCTCTCTCTAATTAGTTATTAATTCCAATGTTTTACTCCGTATTTGATCGCAAGTTGTTTTTTGTTTGTTTGCTTTTGTTTTTGCTAGGTAATGAGGTTAAGTGACTTGCCCAGGGTCACACACCTAGTAAGTGACATGAGTCTGAATGTGGATGTGAACTCAGGTCCTCCTGAATCTAGGGCCAGTGTTCTATGCATTGTGCCACCTAGCTGCTGCCCCCCAACCCTGGCAAGTTAATTATATGCAAGGTTTCTGTTCCGCATAGCTTTGTAACAGAATAGTTTGGTTTTGCTTCCATTTTGCTTTTTGTATCTGCGGTATCTAGTACAATGCCTTGCATATAAAAGGAACTTAATGAATGTGCATTTCAGGGATATATAAGTTTGGAGTGTCTTCATCATACTGTTAGCCTTCCTTTAGATACTCTTCATGTTAATTTATTTTATAAATTTCGCTCTATTTTTGTTTTTAATCATTCTTTTATTAGTGATTATTTTAAATAAACTTTCATATGGTTGTTAAATGTTTTACAGATTACAGCAAGTAGTTTCAATGACCAAAAATCCTCACTCATGTCATCGAGCATTTCATAAGGTAGGGACAAAATCATCAGAGCCAGTCAGTGAATTAAAGTTTTGTTTTGTTTTGTTTTTAACACAATTCCAACATCATTAGCTTCTGGGCCTATGAGATGGGCTAGAATAAACTGTACTGATTATGCATAGAAAGAAGCAGTGCAAATGTTCAGTGGGTAGGATTATAACCAGTAGAAAGTTGTATGTATGCATAAAGCCAGGTATAATGGGTATGTACAAATGAAATCTGTGTGTATGTGTTTGCAAATATACATGTACAATATACATAAATTTCATTTCTATGAAACTGATTTAACCAGGTGTGTGTTCTGGGAAAACTTTGGATTTAGTATTCACTCAACTCTCAGCTCAGGGGATCAGAATTCTACATCTTTCATTAAGTGAAATACGCAAATGCATAAAATGAGGGACTAGCAAATCCTGCGCAAGATGCCTCTTTTTATAAGTGTTGAAATTATAATGAATTATTTTTAATCTGTTACTTTCATGTAGAGTCTGACCTTTTATTTTGCTTATTTGTTTTTCTTTCTGTTTATTTTTTTCCTAAAGAAATAGTGAACAATGATGGTCTAGGGGATAACTCAACAGTAATGTGAAATGATAATGACTATAACTGCAATTTCCAGTTGCTGGATAGGAATTACTGTACTATGATAATGCATATTATTGTATCTCATGAAACATTGCTTTTTTACTCTGCAACTGAAGAAACTAATGAGACAATGACATCAAGGGAAACTCATCTTGGAAAACTCAATAGAAATTGTAGGTGCACAGGACTAGAGGTGCACTTGCTCTTACCTCTTCTAACATTGCAAATGCATCTTTTTCTTTCTTTTTCTTTAATCAGAGATTTTTCAGAGAATTTATCTTATAAATGAACCTTAAAATCCATAGACTGAAACTGTGATAATATGATAACTAAAATATAAGTTTCCAATTGAATAATGGAAAGGTAGCCCATGAAAGAAACCTCTCAGGAACAATTGATCTTGTGTCATTCTAAATCAGTAGCTTACAGTTAATAATATGTGGGAAAATGAGGAAGAACGATTCTCCACTAGAGTTGTCCTCGTTTACTTTTTGACATGGAGACCCAGAATCTTAAAGCTTATGCCAACAGGATGTAAGTTTTCAGTCAACAAGGAATCTTGGAAAAGTTTTGAGTATGGGCCTATCAATAGACTCTTTCTTTTGCACAATGATCACTCTAATTAAAATAGATTTATCCCCAAGTGGCAAACCAGTTTGTTAACCAGGTATAAATTGATCCTACTGCACTAATTCATGAAGACAATATGCTTAAGTCTGTAAGGATTCTGATTTACTTTAACAGAAACAGTACAGACTTGGAAGATATGTGAGGTATTTTGATGAAAAAATATTAACCTGAAACATATAACCAGGTATAAAGTAGGGCAGAATGCTAGACAATGTCTAACATTCTTTCCATTTTTAACTCTGATTCCTTAATATATAGGAAAGATAGAATTGATCTTTGATGTTCAAATTTTACAGGCAGCATATAAAGTGAACTATGGAATTTACATAAAATGAAACCAAGTTCACAGATACTGGCTGAAAACTAGAATTCCATACTAGGTTCTAAAAAACAATTCATTCTATCTCTATAGAACCAAATAGCCAGTCTCCAAATCAAGAGTGATAATGGACTTCTACTTCACCATTGTGTATACTTCCTATAAATATCTCCTGGAAGTGTGATCACTGTCAAGTGACCTCAGACTGGTGTTTAATAATAGAGTCTCATATTTACAGCCTCACTGCTAATGCAAGGGATATGATAGCCCTTGTCCCATGATGATGACTTTACCATTAATACTCTGGGAAAAATGAGAAGTTTAAATAACCCAGCATTTCAAATACAAAAAAATGTTTCTATCTGCAGAAGGTCACATGTCTTTCCAAATGATAATTTATTAAAAACAAAAACAAAATTACTTAAATAATAAATTAATCTTACATAATTTAATGTAATAATCATGTAAATATATAAAAATTAATTTTATGCTTTTTAAAATACAGTTACTTTTATCTCATTCTATGTAGCTATATATATATATATTTCTGTAACTATATGTAAAAATGTATATATATATATATATAGTGTCAATATAGATATACAAACATTTGTATTGTTTTAAAAGGTAGGGAGTGAGCTACAATAAAAATGATAATTCTATCTAAATTAATTTACTTATTCAGTGCCATACCTATCAAACCACCAAAACTTATTTTATAGAGCTAGATAAAACAATAACAAAATTCATCTGGAAGAACAGAAGGTCCAGAATATTGAGGGAACTAATGAAAAGAAATGCAAGGTAAGGTGGCCTAGCTGTACCAGATCTTAAATTGTATTGTAAAGCAGCAATCATCAAAACTATTTGGCTAATAAATAGAGAGATGGATCAGTGGAATAGGTTAGGTGTGCAAGACACAACAGTCAATGACTATACTAATCTACTATTTGATAAATCCAAAGACTCCAACTTTTGGGATAAGAAATCACTATTTAATAGAAACTGCTGGGAAAACTAGAAAAGAGTATGGCACAAACTAGGCATAGACCCAACATTTTACACACTATACCAAGATAAAGTCAAAATGGCTACCGGATTTAGATATACAGACTGATACTATATGCAAAATAGGAGAGAAAAGAATAGTTTATGTTTCAGATCTATGAAGAAGGGAAGAATTGATAACCAAAGAGGAGATAGAGGACATTATGAAATGCAAAATGGATAATTTTAATTATATTAAATTAAAAGTTTTTGCACAAAGCCAGCACAACCAAGATTATCAGGAAAGAAGAAAAGTGGGAAAGAATTTTTACTACCAGTATCTCTGACAAAGGCCTCATTTCTCAAATATAAAGAGGACTGAATCAAATTTATAAGAATACAGTTCATTCCCCAATTGATAAATGGTCAGAGGATATGAACAGGCAGTTTTCAGAGGAAGAAATTAAAGTTATCTATAGTCATACTAAAAAATGTTCTAAATCCTTATTGATTAGAGAAATGCAAATCAAAAGGACTCTGAGGTACCCCATCACATCTATCAGATTGGCTAACATGACAAAACAGAACAATGATAAATGTTGGAGAAGATATAGGAAAATTGGAATGCTAATGCATTGTTGGTGGAGTTGTGAACTGATCCAACCATTCTGGATAGCAATTTGGAACTACGCCCAAAGTGCTATAAAATTGTGCGTACCCTTTGACCCAGCAATACCACTTCTAGGTCTGAATCCCAAAGACATCATAAAAACAGAAAAAGGAATCACATGTATGAAACTATTTATGGCAGCTCTTTTTGTGGTGGCAAATAATTGGAAATTGAGAGGATGCCCATCAATTGGGGAATGTCTGAACAAGTTGTGGTATATGAATGCAATGAAATTCTGCTGTGCTATA